TGGTTTGAAATTTGGATGAGAACTGAGGGTAAATATTCAAAAGAATTTCAGATATGAATTAATTTCAAAGCTTAGTCGGCTGTTCCTGCCATCAGCAGTAACAGATGTGAGAATAGAAAAAATAAGGAAAGGAAAATAGAGATAAAGGGGAATGTTTGGTGGGAAGTTGTGGAACCAGATGTCTCTGCAGGTTGGGAGGGTTTACAGAACTCCAATCATTTTCTGGCACACTCCTAGCATTGAACAGAAGGTGCTGTTAAAGTGTCCTCCTTTTGAGGGTAGTTTGTGCTGGAAATAAGACAGGAAATGGTAACAGAGAATTTACAGGGAGATGAAAGTATGTTAATGTAAGCTTCATAACCTCAGCTGTTCCTCATGAGATAAAAGTTCTCTGAAGAATAAGGACAAATAACCTTTTTATTATACAGCAACTTCCAGGTATCAGAGCTGAAAATTATCCATAAATTGGGAATGGCAGCAGTCCCACAGCATTACTGATCCTCCAGACTCCCTCAACTGTTTTGGTGTTAAATTCAATTTTTCTCGCATCCTTCTGACCAAAGCTCAGTTTCAAACCAACTCCATGTTTACCGCCACCACTCCTGAACAACCTGTTAGCATGCAGGTACATCTAATGGTTCATATGAACACCTCATGTCACTTTGCTGTGACAATATAAAGAAAATCATCTAGCCAAGCAACCAGTGGCTAAAATTCATGTGCATTTAAATTTGACTTTCTATACATTTACTACTGGAAATATGTAGAATTTTCACACACGTTACATTTATACATGTAAAATGATATGTGGTAGATATCCAGTGTAAAAACTTTCTGCCTGCAGTGGCGCCCCATTAAAACTTGGTGAGTCTTGGCATATTTTAGGATGCCACTAAACAGTTACAAATAATGCTTTATTAGATTAAAATTAGTTCCATTCATTTTACTAATAATTTACACATAGACCTCAGCATTTTCACAAATTATCTTTTTGTCTTATTTCATCCTGTTATTCCTCCCACCCACTAACCATGCTGAATGTTTCAGAGTTAAGAAGTCAAAGACGACAGTAGTGACCATAAAAAGGACTGTTTTTATTCGGGTTAATGTACAGACGTGACACGGCTTAGCGGTAGCGGTGCAGCTGCAGGGTGTTGCGCCTCTTCCAGGCGGCACGGCGGGAGCCTCCGATGGTCAGGTGGAACTTATGGCCCTTGCCCAGGCCGCGGCTCTTCTTTCCTGCAGAGGTCAGGCCGCGCATCTCCCTGTGCTTGTGCACGGCCTTTGTGATCCACTGGGTGTCTGGGTTGCGTCTGACGGCCTTGTGGAAGGGATCGATCAGAATCACTTCGAAGAACTTGTAGGTGGAGTCCTCACCCACCCAGTAGGAGTTGAGAACTCGCAGCGCTCCACAGTGACGACCAGCGCGTTCCTGAGGGGACAACCACACACCCGTCCAAAAAACAGTTACCAACACAGAAAACTTAGATATAGAAAGAGTATAGTTAAAGCCCAGACCATGCCATGTTCCTGCTTTGCAGATGATAAATGACAGTCAGCTACTGCCATCTTTATATTAAAAGAAAGGATGAAATGATGCTTTTGAGATTCCAGAGAACAACATACTGAGGGCAGTTCTGAGCTGGATGGACTCAAGTCAGTAACAGTCAACCTGACAATCATCCAATACTGTCAACAAACTGCAAAGCTTAGAAAACTCAAAGAGTTTTGGTTCCAACATGTCACAGAATCAAACACTGCTTCTTCCAGCAGGAAAGAAATATTTACACCAGAGTGAAGTTCTACAAGAATCATGACAGTTGTGCTGCTGTTTGTGCCACTGTATTAGGAATAAGTGCTTACAGCTCATTACATATCTAACTGCATCAGATTAAAAATAAATAAAAATAAAAGCTGATATTTTGCAGTTTTAGAGATGTGGCTCATCTTAACCTAAATTTCTTTCCTGAGTAGCGGTTGATATGTCACATCGTTTATCTATTATTGTGAATTTATAATTAGAACTGACTTAATTCTGTCACGTGAACAACAAAAATGTCAGTTTTACTGTTTTTTCCAATTGTTCAGTAAAGTATCAATAAATAAAAATAGATTTGAAAATGTAATACATGCAGTTACTGTACAGTTTTAGTGACACAAATCAGATGTCATCTTACTGGTGTCCGAAGCAGATTATAGATGGGAACGTTTATCAGCAAGTGTGTGTGTGTGTGTGTTTGATAAAATCAAAGAAACTGATAAGAACTAGTATCAAATAGTTCTTATTGTCACTTATCACAACATTGTGATAGGCTCACATGTTGGTTTCAATTATGAAACCAACATGTGAAATCATTCAGGGAGATCTGCATGAAATTAGGAAAACAATCTGTGGGTCGTTGATTTGATTCCCAGGCTCCTTCTGTCAGCCTGCAGGGCAGCTATAGCTACTATACAGTAGCTAGTCATCATTGGCATGTGAATGTGACCTTTGAAATTTCAGTTTTAGATAAAGAAGCATTATAAATAAGATTATTGCTGTTGCCTACCTGTGACCACACAAATAAAATCATTCTGCTAAAAAATATTTTTTGCACTTCAGCAATAAGGTTTTATAGTAGAATTAGAAAGTAGCATGGATCTGGTTTTACCGTTTAAGTAATTTGATTCGTCTGAAGTCATTTAAATGTGACTTATTGTTCATCTTATTGGTTCATGGAGTTTTAATAGTCTAATGTCCTTACCACATATATACTTTCTAAAATGTCATTACATTAAAAAAGCTTCAAACAGATGTGAATACATGTAAGATGTAGAGCAACAGAGGCAGTGCCACATGCATGGTGCATGGAATGATACTGCGACAACGCTAAATATGCAAAGACACACTGCCGCTCTATTATTGGGATTTGTATATTAATAACTAACCTGTGAATTTGGATCAAATGGATATGGTGAATTCTTTTTGTCGTTAAAAACTTCAGCTACACAAACAAACTGGAGATGTTCCAGGTTGAAGTGAGCAGGACATCCAGTCATGTTTTAAAGCTAGACATCTACTTCAGTCATCTTTTCTAACCAATATCTTCATTGTTATGTATTGAACTGTTAAAAAACCCAGCAGATTTAACGTGTTTCTCTAAGGCAGTTTAAACGATCAGTTATGTCTCAACTTCCCATCGTTGGATAAATTGAACAAGTTCCATTCTGTAGTTTGTTTCAATGGTTAGGTCATGTGTTGTACATGGCCCACCATAAAAACCACCTAGCTGGCTGAAATATATTTTTTGTGTGGGTCTTTCAGGGTTAAAGGTCAAACAGCTATAAAGTGTTGAGCCTGGAGTAGTTGTAATGAATAAGAGCTCTGTTTTTCTCTTGGGCCTCCTCTGGTTAAATCTGAGCTCTAAACTTTGTTTTATCAAAATTACAGAACTAGACATCTATTCCATGTCAGTGTGTTGTTGCAACACGACGCAGGCCTGACAGTTGGGACCAGGTTGGTGAAATGCAGCTTGTTCTCATACCTCAGCAGTTGACTGCAAACTGCGGGCGAATTTGAGCTGGTTCACACCATGATGCACCGGCTTGCCGTAGGTCGCTCCCTTAGGGACGGGGCGTTTGCGGCCACCACGGCGAACTCTGATGCGGTAAATGACATAGCCTGAATGAAAACAGAGCGTAGTTAAAGCTAGCACCAATGATGAGAAGTCAACAGCAAGTCCATGGGGTAAGTACTCACCCTGCTTGGCTTTGTAGCCCAGCCTGCGAGCCTTGTCAGGCCTGGTGGGTCTGGGGGCCCGATGGAGGTTGGACAGCTGACGGTACTGCCAGCAGCGAACACGGAGCAGGAAGCGCATCACATCAGACTGCTTCTTGCGCCACAGCTCCTGCATATACCTATAGGCTCCCATGTTGATTTACCTGAAGGAAAGAAATGTTTCAGAGAATGTCAACTCAGCGCTTTGTTGTTCCACATGGCAGTTTAATGAGCACAAAGGAATCAGACAGGCTGTAATCTGAAGCCTGGGAATACACATGGCTTTTATACAGTCTGATGTCAGATTCTTCACAACATGGCTCATTCTTTTTACACACACCTTAACGCACAAAGACATACAGACATATCAAATATAATGAAGTACCTAACAAACATCAATCATAGAATCAATGTGCTCTATAGCCAAAGGATAACTTATCCACGTTCAACTACATGTTACAAATAAAACCGCAGTGTTAGCCGCTTAGCTTCGCACCACAACCTGTCTCGATATTAATATTTAGGATACTACGGCACAAACTGTGACCGATAAAAGACAATTAAGTCAGAGTACAACCCAAATGCTCTGTATTTAAATAAAACATGCCGCTATCGCTTCAGCAGCAAGAATGATAATGGCTACCAGTATGCACGTCCACCTAAACTAAGACTTTAATAACAGAATTCACAAGATTCATCACAAAATAGCCGAGATGTAAAGACGATAACGAACATCCGAATCTATCCCCTAAGTTGGATTAGCAGATGAATCTGTATAAACAATGATTTTCGTGGATTGAGTTTGCTTCAGAAGTATGTGATATCTAGCTTACTTGATGGCGTACCAGCCGGAAAGAGAGAGGGATTTTACCCAGCATGCCTTAAGGCAGTACGTTTCCTTTCCGGTGCTCATGGGAAATGTATTTTTTCACTTATTCAATTTTTGTATATTTTTTAATTATTTTCTTTGTTTATGAACTACTTTTACTGTTTCGTTTGATAAAAATCAAATTACGTCTTCATGATGTACGGGCAAAAATATCTACAAAGTACGCGCATGCGCTGTGAGCAAACAGCCAATTTAGCTACAGAATGGATACACCGGCTTTTTATTGTACTTTTACAGACAGTTTCCGGGTTCGTTCACCCTGACAAATTTCTTTTTCATGTAGATATCCTGGACAAAAGGTTTATTCGCAGCTCGGCTTTTATTTGTGTGTTTATATCACGCAGCACGAGACGTTAATGCTAAGTTGCTAGCTGGAAACAGAATACCTGCTGCTCGATGGGAGCTTTTATGCCTCTTTAAAAGGAAGTTTTTCTTGTGTGAATAGTAGAGGAACATGCCAACCAGCCGTGACCGTCAGTAAGGACCCGATTTATCTTTTCTCAACCCCGGCTCGAAATGGGAAAAGGTTGTAAAGTGGTGGTGTGTGGCCAGGCAGCGGTTGGGAAAACAGCCATTCTGGAGCAGCTGTTGTATGGAAACCACTCTGTGGGTAAGCAGGAGTCTGACTCCCAGGCAACAAACACTGCCGTAATTAAAGCGACTGGTCCTTTATTTACATGAAATAACTTCACTAACCTTCTTGAGAATAAAGTAACTGACATTTTAACTGAGAACAGTCTGTTTGTACAGGTTAAAAATGTCATACTGAATAAAATGGAAATATTCTGCAGAAATTCAGGTGCGATGTAGCTGGTGGGCAACTGTGACGGCGTGTTAGGACCTTTGTGATTTATTTTTAAAAAGAGTACATTTCCGCCAAAAATACGGAAATTTAGAGAATAATCTTAAAAATTATCTATAAAACGTGAAAATGTCTGTTTTGAAAAATTGAACATTATGATTTTTTTTAACTCCGATGTTTTCATGTTTTTTTCTTCTGGAAATTTTCTGAGTTTTTTGCCGTTTAATTTACGGGGGTTTTCTTTCAAGAAAATTTCAGCGACTTAAGAAAAAAATATATATGTAATTTTTTAAAAATTATTTTTTTTAATTTACTATTTTTATCTGCAGTGGCCCTGATATGCCCGAATGTGACAGTATTGCTGTGGGACAGTGTTTGTTATTGCTGCTGAAAGACTGGCTGTGTCTTCCTGTTGGTGTCCAGGCTCTGAGTCCAGTGAGACGCAGGAGGACGTGTATGTGGCTTCAGTCGAGACCGATCGAGGTGTGAAGGAGCAGCTGAGGCTTTACGACACCAAAGGACTTCAAGATACTCAAGACCTCCCGAAGCACTACTACTCTGTGGCCGACGGCTTTGTGCTGGTTTACAGTGTCGACAGCCTGGAGTCCTTCAAGAAAATTGACTTCCTGAAGAAGGAAATTGACAAGTCCAGAGACAAGAAGGAGGTGACGCTTATTCACTGCGCTTGCACCTCACTTCACCTCAAAAATACTTCTGATACAGGGTCAAACCACAGTCAACAGGTCAGAGAGAAAAATGTGTAGGAATTTAAAACAGGGTTAGGTTCTACAACTACATCTCAAGTTTTGAACATTTCCCAGAGTTTTGATGAATCCATAATCTGACCAGAGAGAGGATGAGCTGCAGAAAGCTATTGCTCATTCGTTGCGTACGCCAGCAAGAGGAAAGCCATAAAACTGCACATTACTCAGAATACACCATCTGAATGGGAGTGACAGCATCATGCCTTGGGGATGCTGTTCTTCTACAGGGAAAGGGAAGCTGCTTAGAATTATCAGAAAGATGGATGGAGCTAAAAACAGGCACAATGGAATCATTTAGATCAGGGGTGTCAAACTCCAGTCCTTGAGGGTCACTGTCCTGCAGTTTTTCAATGTGCCACAGGTACAAAACAAATGAATGAAATGGCTTAATTTACCTCCTCCTTGTGTAGATAAGTTATCCAGAGCCTTGCTAATGACCTGATTTCTCTATTCAGGTGTGGTGCAGCAGAGGCACATCTAAAAGTTGCAGGACATCAGCCCTTAAGGACTATGTGTTGACACCTCTGATTTAGATTAAAGCATATTTATTTGTTAGAATGGCCTACTTTAAGTTCAGACCTAAACCAGGGAATCTGGCAAGATTTTATCTGTTGCTGCTAACACATACTCTTCATCCCAGTGGAGTGGTGAGGAGAGCTGCTTTGTGAGGCAGAAGTTTGAAAACTGCTGTTCTAAGGAGGAGCTGCGCTTCAAAGGCGGGGCAAGGTCCACCCAGGTGTTTCTTACAGGGAACATATGAAAGAATCAAGGCAACACACCAGGTGTGTTTTTGATGAGTGAATAAAATTATAACATGATGTAAAGGTTAAAAAAGTTGATTTTACATAACTGCGTCTTTCATCGAATTATATTTTGATCAGACAAAATGTGTATTTGCATTATCTGTGGTTACACTCTGACTAAATGGTGAAATGGCCTGCCATAGAACCACAGAGGGTCCTGCCTTGTGCTCTTGAAGCCAGAGGAACATCACACATGTGCTAACACCTGGTCTGAGAGTTACATGTCCTATTTGCTAGGTTGCTGAGCTTTCTGTGAGCAGTGTTCCACATTAGCTTACTAAACATGTGTTGTGTTGCTAGGTGACCATCATAGTCCTGGGGAACAAAAGCGACCTGACCGAGCTCCGTCAGGTGGAGCAGGAGGCGGCGCAGCAGTGGGCGCGGGGGGAGAAGGTGAAGCTGTGGGAGGTGAGCGTGATGGAGCGCGGCTCGCTCATTGAACCCTTCATCCAGCTGACCAGCCGGCTGACGCAGCCACAAAGCAAGTCGGCCTTCCCTCTGCCTGGACGCAAAAGCAAAGGCACAGCCTCCAATGACATCTGAGGGGCTCTGCCCACCTGGACCCCCAACTCAACCACTTTACACTCCTCTGCAGTGTTAACCATCTTACATACAGACTTGATTCTTTGATTTTTAAACATGGCAGCATGTGGTTGGTCAAGTGGAGCAGCTTCCTGTCCTACTGATGTTGCTGTAATAGAAATCATAGTGCAATATGTTAACTGATATTAGTGAGTAGATTTCTGATTAATATTCATGTCTGCAGCTAATTAGTTTCCTCCTTCTGTTGATGGTATGAGGCTGAGGACTGATCCAGTTTGAACTTTGAGCATCCAAATCCCTAAAAGGGACTCTGCTGCCCCCTGCTGGATAATCCACAGTTTCTGCTATCAGTAGAGCTGGTAACCGTGGAAATGGCTGGACTGAGAGACTGTGAGTGGCTGCTTGCATGGCAGCGTGTTTTAAAGGTTTTGATCAGAATATTGCTGAACCAGGCGAGACACAACTGGAGGCCAATCCCAGTTCAGCCTGGGCTGGTGTGATGACATTTAAATCTCTTAAAAGCAAAATGTAGCCGTTTTTAAACCTGGACTGCACTGATAGTGATGTTGGCTTGAGTTTCATTAATTTGATTGCAAGATAAATTTAAAGCAGCTGGTAATTATCAGTGTTCATTCAGCAGGTTAGTATTGTTTCTATAGGCTAACAGTCAGTTTAGGTCTCAATGTTACCTCCACAAGAGGAACACGTACAACAGAGTATTAGTACCAGACTAAGAAATTGGTTGTTTTTTTTTAAATTACAAGAGTAAAGTCATTTTATGATGGAATATTTCCAGAAGAAAGTGGTAAAATAACTAGAAAAGGTTGTTTTAACAAAAACTTTGATAAAATGATCAAGACCTCATGCAAGCAACTTGTCTACTCTGTGAGGATTTTCTTCGAAATAGTTTATATAAGTCCTGCTACTGATATTTGAATGCTGATGTGTTCAAAGATGATGGAGAATGGAGACCGAAGTATAACTTCACAAGTGTAACATTCTTTAATTTATTTTTTGTATTCACGTTCTCATAAAATTACAATAGTCTCTGAATATTGCTTTATTCTCGTTTTAGATTTTTTAAATATCTTTGACTTTATTCACGTGACTTTTTTGTCATACTTTATTCTTGCATTATTTAGACTTCACTTATGTACAACTTTTTTCTTGGAATATTACAACTTTATTTTTGTAAACATATTTATTTTTCTTAGCCTGGTTCTAATCCTCTGTCTATGACAGAGGATTAGGATGACTGCTATTTGCAAACAAACTTGTGTGTTTCTTTTTAGATAGCCACTGTTAGCTAACTAGTCAGGTACCTGCAGCCACATGTGGGATGAGACAGACCTGCTCTGCTCTATTATTCTCTTAAATAATGGAAATGAAGGAGAAAAAAAGATGGTTCTGGGACTTCAGGGACAGTTTGAGGGCAGATTTTATAACTTTGATACAGAGAACCAGTCCCTACAAGAGCCCTGTTATTCAGACATGTTTCATGGGAAGACTAGGAGTTAACCAGACTCATCAGTGGAAGAAAGAATCTGATTTAGATTGAGTAAATGAGCAGCATTCCTCCTGGTCCTCTGGTAGGACTCAGCTCTCAGTGCAGTTCATGTCCACCAATCACAGCCTGGCAGCAATAACCTTTCTGCTACTCCCTTTACTCTATGAATGGTTTCTGTGTATGTGTGTGTGTTTGACTGGGCTGCTTACTTCTGTTAGACTTCAATGTAGAAATAATCAGTGTTTAGATTAAATATTTATTTTTTAACTAATTTATATTTGTCACTTTAATGAGCCACATTCCCTGATGTGAGGATGGCGTCAGGGTGAATGAGCCGTTTTAGCATTGAACGTGCTGCTAGAGCACAGAGTGAACTAATGATGCTATCTGTAACTGAATCACAATAAAGAGACGATCATACTGGACTTCTTGGTTTTGTTTAATTCTTTCAAAGGGAGAAACAAAACAGTCCAAACACAAATAACAACCATCATCCATCCACACCTAAACATGTCTATGTGAGGGAATCAACTTCACGTTCTGGAGGAGAAGCAAACACCAAACATCTGACTGGTAGTCATGGCGACTCCAGGAAGCAGCCATCCTGGAGCTCTGGCTATAACATGGGGTTACAGTTGGGCTGCAGATAATTTAAAATACAATAAACAAGTTAAGACTTCAGCTGCAAGGTAAAAATTCCCCTGCTCCAAGCACACACACACACACACACACACACACACACACACACACACACACACACACACACACACACACACACCCCTTTGCTACAAATCAACCCCCCCGCCCCCCAAGTTGTCCCACCCTCCAGTTCTTCCAGCAGCGACCGCTCTGCTGATTATGTGGCGTAGCGTTTGGTCCACTGTTTGGCTATCCTGTCATGTTCTGGTCTGTTTGTGGTGTACTGTGTGGCAATGCTTCCCACCAGGGGGTCCGCTGTCAAAACAAAAGCACAACATCAGTGTGGACCAGGAGTGGGGGGAACCACTGAATGTCATCAGAGAAAGTGTTGAATGCTGCAGATCGCTCACCAGGGTTGCAGTCAGTAAGCAGGGAGCAGATGGACAGCAGGACCTTGGAGATGGTGAGAGCAGGACTCCAGTTGTCCTTCAGGATGTCCAGGCAGATCACCCCCTGGCTGTTGATGTTGCAGTGGTAGATCCTGGTGCGGAACGTCACCTGATGACATGCACAATGCCCCCGTGAGAAACTGTGAAACCCCACAGAAACAAACCACCTGTTTGGTTCTGTTCCACCTCAGAACCAGATCAGAGTCCAAACCAGTCTGGTCTGACAGACTGGACTGTCATGACCAAGTCATGACATTTTCATAACAAGGTAATTGCCACAATTTCACACTTGGAAAGTTGTTTTTTCTAAGCAGGATGAAGTGTACCCTCTGGAGGAAAACCCAAACATTACACATCTAAAATAAATGCAGCTTATGGGCTCTATGAAATACTTCTACCTATTATGGCATATTAGGGGCAATGTAAATAGAAAAAAAATTATTCAGCCCAAAAAAAAAAAAAAAAAACGTAAAAGTTTTTATTTTTTTTATTTGAGAATTTATCATCCAGCAAAATATGTCAACATGACAGGCCTCCATTCATGTTTCCGGTTTTAAAAATAGTTTTTAAAATTAGTGTGATGTAATCTTCTAATTTTAAATTTTATGTTTTCACTAACTATCAGGGCTAATTTTCATAACTAAAAAAATCAATTTGTGCTCTATATGTTTCACCTGGTGAAGTTTGTTAACTAAACAGGCCTTTCAGTAATATTCTGATCTAGTTATTGTGTTTATTGTGTGGAATCCTAACCTTGGGGGGTTTGAAGGGGTAGTCTGGTGTGAAGGCGATGTCCAGGAAGAACACTCCTCCCTCATACACGGAGCCCGGCGGGCCCAGGATGGTGGACCTCCACTCATAGATGTTGTCTCCTTTAGGGCCGGCACTGTGGACACACGCACAACCGGTACTGAGGGTTCAGTTCACACAAGGTCAGAGGGCAAACCTTCCATCAGAGTCCAAGAACCTGGACGCAAGTCATGTTTCTGTACTTTCACTGGATTTATTGAAAGTTTCTAGAATGGATGCTGCAGTATTGATTGATATCTGAACAGATTGCCATTCCTGCTTTTTTGCAGGAACCTGACATCATCTGTAGACATTAGAATTTCCTGACCTAAATCTTCCCTAAAGGCTAGATAAAATGTGTTTAGAGCCACAAACCTTTGAAAAAAAAGATGTCCTAATTTCTGACAAATTTTTACTACAGAAAAAGAAATCTGTTGGAATTTTTAAACTGCAACTTCAATATTACCATTTTAAGATAAAGAAAAATTAAATTATTTTAAAAAGATGACTACATTTTTTGTAAATATTATGTTAATATTTACACAGTTTCAAAAATAAGCAAATTAAACCAGCCAAATCAAGTTAATCAATAATGACAGAATCTTTGACCCAATCAGAGCTTAGTGTTAACATTTCCATCCGTCTGATCTGAGGTGCTCCGATCAGCAGCATGTCGCTGTAAGGAAACACCATCACTATTGCTGCCATCAGCAGGACATTCTCCCACGTCCTCTTAGTGCACAGACTAAGATGCAGTGCATTCAGTCACAAAAAACTGAATGCTTAAAGGAGAAGCAACTCTACCTAGTTTAACCTCTGAACCTGCGAATGAACACACAGGAGCTCATTGTTTACAGCTTAGTAGAGGTTTTGCATAACTTCATACACTCATGTGTTCCCAGACACACTGACATTTGGTTCTGAAGTGCCTCACACTGAGCGGACACACCTGAACACACTGCAGCAATCAGCTTCTTCATCTCTTCAGCACCAGATCAGATTGAGTCACGCGCCCCTTGGCTACAGGTCAGAAACAGCCTGGGGCTCTGGACCCCTCCAACCCGGCATCTTATTAGGAGGAAGATGGCCTGATGGAAGGGCATTTGTCTCCTGAAGGAAAGGCTGACTGCAGTCGAAGGTCAGCAGAGTAACTTTAAGAAAGAGCATGAAGTCTGTAAGAGTGTTGGTCAGTTTTGCAGCTATGTCAGCATAAACCAGGTTAATGTTGCATTTTATTTCTGCCCGCATGTGCTCCACCTCCTCTTCAACTCCAACCTGCTTTTGTTACTGGGGCTGCAGGCAGGAACTGCTTGCACGTCTGCAGCGTTCAGGTCGCAAAACATTGATCTGGAAAGTTTCCATTGAAATGTCTGAGAGCTGCTGGAGGGAAGAAAGGTTTCAAACCAGACTGAACACATTCCCATCCAGCCCCATTTACCCTGACACCAACAAAGAAAATCCAGTGTATGACTGACTCTGTGGATGCACAACAAGGAGAGTCCTTCTAACATACAAATATCTTAAAATATCTTTTAATTGAGCTTTACGTCATCTTATAATGTTACTCCCTCATCAGAAACATACCTGGAGTGTTGCCTTGATTCTTTCATGCAAGTTTGAGAAATCTTTAAGTCTCCATGGCAACCATTCAGCTGTACAAAATGCCTGGGTGGACCTAGCCCTGCCTTCATCACACAGCTCCTCTGAGCTGCAGCTTCTAAGCTTCTATCTTGCTGAAAGTGCTGAGTTCTTCCCATCTTGATGCTTGGAGGTTATAGCTGTAGATGTGTTCTTCACTACCAATGATCAATCATCCACTAAAGAAATGCTGTTATTACATTTTAGGAAATACTTCCTGATTTAAAAAAGGAATTGAATTTTGTTTTTTTATTTGCATTATCTTATGCATTTCTAATATTGTATAAGATTAGGCAATGACATATCTTAAGAATGCAGCAATTTATTTTATGCAAATATTTGTCAGAATAATCGATTGATTACTAAAATAATCATTATCTGTAGCCTGAGCCTGATGCCTTTTATTTGACTGATTTCTACACATTCAACTGAAAGCAGTTTGGCAGCCATGTTGGATGGGAGGAGTTACCCATCATGCTGGCAGATTCTGGTTAGATGATGATGATGATGATTATCATTATTATTAATGTTGGTAGTTGAACATTCTGATCTATGATCTGCTTCCATGTGTTTTTGTGGCGAATCACCTGGAAACCTGTTTAGGGTTCTCAACATGTGGTTCAGGGGGTTTTCTGCTGCTGTAGAGCTTAGCTACATCCTGCTGATGAACAATGACATAAAAACACTGATAAAAACTCAAACAGTTAAACTTTGAACTGGAAGTGGGCGATATGGACTTAAAAGTTTTATTATGATATTGTGTGGAACTTGCCTGTAACAATTGGAATTGCTATTTATTGTGACAACGTTAAATCAAAATCTTGTAAGAAATTTATTGCAATAAATGACACATGATAGGATAAATGCCCAGCCCTGCTTTGAACCCAACCAGCTGTACCAAGCAGAACCTGGTTCTGCAAACTGGTTCTGCGCTGAGTGTAATGTTAGCTACACTGAAGTCACTTTTGCAGATTTTTATTGGGAAAAATGAAGTTTCAACTATTCTTTTTCTCCAAACTCCAAATACAAAAAATACATAAGATGTGAAAAGTTTCCAGGTCTATGATTGCATTCGTAAGGAAGTGGAATAACTAGAATTCCACTAGAAATATACTCACACATTCTTGTTTTCGACAGCCATCAGTTCAACACACCAACCACACACCTGTAACATGTTCCCCTCATGTCTGACCCAGCTGCAGCTGCTGCTGCACTGACTCAGTCTTTCCACAGGCAGCTGCCAACATGCTGAGCCAGCCGGGCCCAGTGGCGCTGGTTCAGCTGCAGCAGCTGTCCCCAGAACCGCATTACCCCCCCTGCATAACACAGGCACGCAGCAGGCACGCAGCAGACACTAGCAGCGCTGCTGCAGCACTACATACACCTCAACCTAGTGAAGGGAACTTTCACCTTTTAAATGGTGTGAATGCGTGTGTGTGTGCAGCAGATCAGAGCTCAACTGTTTGTTGAGGTAATGGGGCCAGCCACTTCCTCCTTGTATTTAGAGAACATTTTCAGAAACCTGAGGGCTCCGACAACACAGTCTGTAGCACACCGCCCTGCTCATCAGCTCCTGGCTTGCTGCACTTTGCAATGATGTCAAACAATTCTGGCTTTATTGAGTTAGGGGTAATCTCATGTTTTCCACAGTTTAAGACTGAATTCAGGCAGATCCCAGGACGTTTGGGGGACAGTTAGGAGAATGGTAAAAAAGGGGAGCCTGCATTGGAACAATAGGGGAAAACTAAAAGTATCAGGGCTGTGCGTTCACACCAGCCCTGTTCAGTTCGCTGTAATCCAGTTCATTTGCCTAGAACCAGGTGTCAAACTCCAGTCCTCAAGGGCCGAAGTCCTGCAGTTTCTGGATGTGCCACAGGTACAAAACACTGAAATGAAATTAATGACCTCCTTCTTGTGTCGATACATTCTCCAGCGCCTTGCTAATGACCTAATTATTCTATTCAGGTGTGGTGAAGCAGAGGCACATCTAAAAGTTGCAGGACATCAGCTTTTGAGGGCTGGAGCTTGACACCCCTTGCCCAGAAAGCCCAGTTGGTTTGGGGAGCTGTGAATGTATATCTGAACTCTGACGGTTCAAAAAAAAAGTAAACTCTAGTCCATCTACAAACTTTGGTCTGGGTTTGGTCGAAATGAACTTTGATGTGGTTTGAATGCAAAGGTGAATACCAAGTGGACCAGAGACCACTTCAAAAGCAGGAAGCGGATTGCAGTGGAGGGTATTCTGGGTAAATACAGCAAAAACAAACGTGAGTCTAGCCCTAGCAGCAGAAAAGACTCTTGGTCTTTTATCAAAAACAAAAGAGAAATCCTAAAATCTGACTCTGTATTTGTTTACACTGCATGAAGAAAGTCGGAGTCTTTTTCAGAGGTTTTTCTGTCTTTTTCTTCAGAGGTTCTTGGTGCAGGAGATTTATAGTTGTTAAGTGTAAATTCAGCTGTCTGTATGCCAGGATATGAGTCAGGGTTGTTACAGTGATACTTAAATCCACTAAGTATCTTCTAAAAGCTCCTGGAGTCTAACTGAGAGCTAACTGCTGGTGTTTAAGCCGTCAGCTCACCTTCCAGGACTAGAAGGGACAACCTCAAGTTCACACACCAGTTATTTAGAGCCGACATTCACCGACAGACCTGTCATTACATCTGACCAGTTAATAAAATGCATGAACAGAACATGACCCAGAACTCTAGACCTGGAGATGCACAGATCGTAGAAAGGAGCAGATCCATGAGTAGAAAAGACTGTTTACTACTTTTATTTTCAGGTGTCTAAACCAACCAGGCTTGTTTATAAACAGGTCAGATACACCAAATCTGCCTTCATGAAAGAAGCTGCTGCTCACATAGTGGTTCTGTCACCCATCCTCCTTCCCTCTTTCTCCATTCAGTTGGTTAAAAGTGCAGATCTTTCACCACAACATAACATTTTCTCATCGGAACAGACAAAGGTCACATGGAGTACAGCAAGGTTCAGTCCTGGGATCCCTCCTATTTAATATGTGGCAGCAGCAGGAGTGGAGCTTCCATGCCTCACAGTGTCACAGTTTGCAAAGAGCTCATCTCACTAGCCTGTAAAAAGCTGTTTGGACTTTTTACAGGTCAAACAGCTGTTAAAGCAATGGGCCAGATTTGGTCTATCTGAACCCATTGCTTTAACACACACAACCTTCTGTGTGTTGTGTGTGTTAAAGCAATGGGTTCAGATAGACCAAATCTGGCCCATTGCTTTAACAGCTGGAGCATGCAGAACCTATGTAGATCCACGCTGTTCCTCTGAAGCAGTTTGTGATCAAATGCTGGTTCTTTAATGAATTCATGGTCGTCAGACGTTTGCAGAGGTAGAGAACAACAGTTTCACATGTTAGCATCGACCTATCGCTAACCACCCAAAATTCAGGAAATCGGGATCCGTTTATCAGTGCACTCCTAATTCACATTATTCATACAGCACCATGTCACAACACACAAATCCATATCTGATCCAATAATATACTATAGATTTAGTCAATTCAAAACAACTTAAAATCTGCAAAACTAACAAAATCAGTTTATGGCATAAAGCTAATAGTAAGGAAAAGCTTATAAGAGCTTCCTTTCTCACGCCCTTAATATTTAACACCATATTACACAGGTAGAGGTGATTCCTGTTAACAATGTTTACCAACTCCAAACAGATGAGACTGAAATACTCTCTCTCTCACCTGCAGTTTGGAGGAGGATCCAGTGTAATGTCAGCCAGTTCCTTTTGAATTCTGCACAATGAAACAATGAAAAAAACACAATGAAAAAACAAAACAAAACAAAAAAAACCAATAAAATATAAAATTTAACACCTTTTAATCAAATAGTCACTCTGAATTAAGACTAATGGAGCCAGAGTACAAAGTCGACTCATCTAGAGCTGGAGGAAAACCGCTACCTTGTTCTGTGATGAGACCTGTGAAATTCGGAAGCCAACTCCCTGATTTTTGCATTCCAAAAAGGAGAGGGTTCACCTTTTGGCGCTGGTAGACAGAAGCTTGGAGGTCTTGCTCATGCTGACTTTGCTCTCTCGCTTCTTTGACGGGTTTACTTCCTGCTGCTGCTGATGATGATGAATGGAAGATGAAGAGGAGGAAGAGCTTGTGCTGGCACGGGAATCTTCATCCGACATACCGAGCCTTGGGGGCCAGTAGGAACACAGAGTAAAGCTTTCATGTTTGCATGTAAAATCATCTGTTGACAAGTCAAAGGAATAAACGGACTGAAGCCCCGTTAATACTCTGTGATAGTTCACACAACAAATATATCTCAATATGTATTAATACAGACAGTGGTAATTGTATTAGTACTACTGAAGAGGCCACAAGCCACATTCCAAAGAGTATGGCCAATCATAACCTAGAAAAATAAACAGATTGGCTGCTTTGCCAACACTGGCCAATAACATGTCCAGTAGAATTACACAGACTTAGCTTAGGTTCCCAAGCTATTTTGTCTTTAAATATTTCAGATTGCTTTATGAAAAATTAACAGATAGGCAGGTTTTCCATGAATAATTTGGAGTTGCATTCAAAAAATCTGGGAACTGATTTTTGGAATGCAAAAATCAGGGAGTTGGCTTCCGAATTTCACAGGTTGCTTGGCTGGAGGAGGGCAGATGATTATTGCCTCATTCCTTTTCCAACAGGAAAGGAATGCCGGGGGAGTGTCGTCGCCTCCGTGTGTCATGCCCTTAGAACTGCAGCATGTAACATTATTAGCGATATGATTTTTGCATGTTATTTAAAACTGTCACAAAGTTGTGATGGTGTAATATAAGATAGAAAATCTGTGAAAAGATTGAACTCCTCTGCCTCCTCTTTGTGCCGTCATCTGCAGAAATACAAAATCAACTAATCAGAGTCAGTAGGCGGGTCTTAGCAATGTCAGTCATTCTTATGTACACGTTGCTCACACCCTCCTCGCTCTCTGCTACACCAGAGCTAGTTCCCCACAGCATGGTCACCAATGATGGCAGATGAACAGTTTACTTGGAACAGTTAGTTGTTTGTCAGTCATTAGCACATTTTTTCATTTAGCAGTGTGAACAGGAGAATGATTGACAGCGCCAAGACCCTCCTCCGGACTGATTGGCTGTTCTGACTGAACGCTGTATATCTGCAGATGGCACTAGGGCCATAGGGAGGAACTCAATCTTTTCTCAGATTATCTCTCATATTATTCTGTCACAACATAGTGATAGTTTTAACAAACATGCAAACTCATGTTTTTTGTAAGTTACACATTGCAGATTTTAAATGGTAAACATTGATATTCCCACATTTAAATCCTTTTTTTCACTCAGCCTTAGAGAGCTAGCCAGAAGTGATGAACATTATTCATGCAAAGAATCTTAGGTTATAGGAATGAGGTGGATAGCAACAAGTTGTACAGTACGGAGTGTATGACAGTAAGTCATCACTGTGGCCATCGGTAGATTTATAAGCTCGGCAGCCATATTAGATTTCAAGGTCTAGGTTGGTGAGAAAACTCACACTTCAAGTCGTGCTCATTTGGGTTTTGGTCATTGAATGCACCATCAGGTCTGTGGGGGCTTTAAGTTCCCAGTCAGTTCTGATTCCGCTGCGCAGAGCAGCTGCTCTGGTTTGAGTCCTGTCTGGTTCTCCTGCACACGCGGTTTATATTATCGTTGCTGGAGGTCAGCTGGGAACCTGACTGGGCCGCTTCCACAGCCAGGAATGTAAAGGACGGGAACAGCCAACTGGACCCACCGGTCTCGCACGTTCTCCTTCCACACGAACCCCAGCTAACGCTCGTAGCTCGGCGCTGGTATTTTCAGCCTTGACGGGTTGCGACAAACGGGACTATTCGGTGGAGCGGTTCGGTGTTTGGGCCTGGTGGTTCTGGTCGACACCACGGAGGGATACACGGCCGCACATCAGCCCTCAGCTGCCTGCTGAGAGGAGCAGGTCGAGGCGGAGAAAAGAAGAACTCGACAGAGCAACGTCGCCTTTAAACTCTCACCTGTGGTGGTTCGGGAAGTCGTTCCGGACCAATTAGACAGCTTTTAACATCTCCGACCCTCACTACGACACACAAACCAAACAAACCCTACGGAAAATAAATACGTTTGAACGCTCCAGCCGTCGACTTGCAGCTGATCTGAGCGCAGGCAGCCAGCCACAGGATGGACCGGTTCCGAACCGTCCGCCGCCACGAACACGAACATGTTTACAGTCAGAACATGGTCAAAAGGTCCAGCACCTCACAACACCAGCAATATTAATATATGGCTTTAGATACCTTTCTTTGTGTGTGCCTCCGCCGCCTGGACGCACCACTGTCAGAATACTTTAATGAGAAGACGGGAAACTTCCGGTCAATTTCTGACAAATAAAAGCATGACGCCATAATCCAATCATCTGTGGATCTGATTCAGAATCACAGTGAGGGTCCAGAAACAATACCGAATACCTGCGGCACTTTGCATAGAACAGCAACAGAAAGGAAAATACTTTTTTTAAAAATTATTATTATTGATAAAAAATGGAAAGTTCTGCCTACTTTCCTATTCATAACAGAAGCATGGTGTGCTACAGAGATTTCTGTATGGAAAGCCATAAGGCCCACAAGCCAAGAAATAAGTCAGAATTAAACACTTACTCTGCTGATATTTTATATTAAATTGTAAATAAATACATCAAGTGCATTTCATCTTCACATGTTTTAAATGCTTCTACTCTATTACAGCTATTATGAAAATAATCTTCAGGACTTATTTATGTATTATTGTACACTGAATAGATCCTCACAACTGATTTGCTCAGCTGTAGGCTTTGATAAATAGATGCTTTTTCCTGTGAAAAAGCTCTGGCTGCCCAGAGCTCCATAGGTTGCTGCCCTTGCCAAGGTCAAAGTTCAACCACACTGCTGAGCATTGGAGCTGTGACAGATTCAGTCGAAGAGACGGGATATCTATCAAATCACTCCAGACTGAGCATAAACACCACACTGCTCTCTGAATCACTGGATCTTCATCATCTGCTCCACTCTTTTTCTCAGCACACAGTTTGTTGTTAGTTTATTGCATAAAATACTTAGACTAAACTTGTTCTGAAAACTCCTTATTTGTGCTGTACTCTGCAGCGCCTTTGGTTTCAGTTTAGCTCCACAGCAAACTGTGTGGAACCCCCACTAGCCTAAATAAAATTCTGGAAGAGGAATGCTGAAGCGCACTGTGCTTGTATCTACATTAGCTACAGTCCTCCAAATTTCATGAGACTTCATGCAAAGCTGTCTTGTCCAACATCACTATCTGACCACACTGTTAAATTTTTGAATAGGTTGTTAATTTTTTTTTTAAAATAACAAAGAACCTCCTAAACCATGTCTAGAACCTTCTCAGAGGAGCTGAAGCTGTTAGAACTGCAAAGCGGGTTGACTGACATCAAATTAAAGCCTATAGAAGATTAGGGTGAAACTCAAGTTAATATATGTGTGAAGATTAACAAGCAAAAATGTTTGGCATTAGTGAAGCTTTCAAACAATAAATTAGATTGATTAGAATGTGTATAAGTGGTGAATTTGTCAGCCTATTCATTTGGCCCATAGTTGTGCTGAGACGCAGGTCCACAGGTTCTGCAACTTTGGTCATCACCATAGTTTACCTTTGCCTCTGTCCGGCTCTGGTCTGAAAGACGTAAGGTAATAAAGATATGAAATCTGAAAACCTATCTATTTGGTTACTATAGAAATATTTTTTCTCTAACATAAAACACTTCACTTATCGCAGAATTCACACATAATCAAATAAAAAAATATTGTAATTTTGAAGGCATTGAAATATGCCTGCAAATGTTTTTTTGTTTTTTTTATCTACAACGATTAAAATCGTTTATTTCTTGCTTGTCATTAACAGAACCGAGTGATATTTGTCTGCTTTTATTTTGTTAAGTGGGGTACGTACTGTTTCCGGTGTTTTGGTTAACAACACTGGAGAGAGAACTTAACGCCACCGCTGGATGGCAGCTTGCCCGCTCTCACCGGAAGTGCCCGTCCAGCAGCTCACAGGATGTCATTAGGACTCAGTGACGAGATTCTGTGATGAGAACGAGATCTGAGCAGAGAGCAGCTGCTTTCACCTTTAACCCCACACCTTCTACTGCAACGTCATCTCACTGTAAGATTATAAATATAAACAAATTAAAAATACATTCTTATGTTAGGATGTGTCTGGCGAGGACTGAAAACTGATGTTGACTGATGTTCAATCAGACTGAACTATTTTATGTAGAGGAATGGAGGGAAAATGTTCATCTGAAAACAGAGCAGATCATGGACTCAGAGGAGCTGAGAGTAACTACAGCTTCATACTCACAACTACTTTAGGGTCATCACATCAAATCTCAATAAAATAACTAAAAAACTATCAAAGTCTGACAAATGTCTTCATTAACAAGAGCAATATATATAATAACCCAAATTGGTGAAGAGATGAAATTGCATTTTAATTAAAACTCATGACATGTTCTGACAGCAGCTTGTTAGCAGCAGAACTGTCTAATAAAAGAGCAGAACATCAGAAGGTTTAGTCATAGTCTGGATGTAAACAACCTGAGATGCCTGAATTGAAACAATTCTATAAAGCAGAGCTAGTATTTATTCAGGTTTTCTTTGTTTGATTACCTAAAACACTTCTGTTTGATGAACAAAACCCGAACAAATCCGGAAAAGGTGGGGGATGGGGATACTTTACTGCACAACCAAAAAAACTTCCTTTTTGGAAATTTGAGTGACTGACTCATTCATGTGGAACAGATCATGGCTCCTCATGCAGACTCGTCTCTGGTTCATTCTCAGACCAACCCTGGCCTTTCTACAAGCATTGGCCTATGTTACGCTATCATCCAAGCATGACTGACTTCTCCTTTTCTGCTCCAGCCTTCCTGCTGCAGCACAGGGACGATGAGGAGGGGGGAGGGAGGTTCACTCTGCCCTCCTCTCCCTCCCCCCGAAGTGTCAACCATAATTAACTCTGCCACTGTTGCTCCACTCTGCTGATTCTGCAAGGCGGTTAGAGAGTGAAACCACAGCAAAGCGGTGCCTCCTGCTCACAACAAGGTGAGTGTGGCTGCTGTGAAGAGGGTCATCAGCAAGTGTGAGTTTGTTTAGTGTAACACACACACAAGCAGTCTGCATTAAACCCCAGTGTGTGTCTCCTCGCTCAGTTGCTTTATTCAGTTCAATTCTTCTCAACAGATTCCCTCTTACTGCCTTATGGGAAAAATTTGAAATTTTGAATAAAGAAGCAGCAGAACAAATCTTCTAGATTACCTTCTCTGTTTATTATAGATAACAAATGAAAGGGTCTATAGCAGCTCTCTCTTAACTAGAGATGCAGTTAAGAGAGATTGCGGAATAAATACTCGTCTACATCTCCACTTTCTCAATCTTCACTGGCGCTGTCAATCATCCTTGTATATGCTGCTCAGCGTGCTAACGGCAGAAAACTGACTTACCAAGGAGGAAGCAGAGGAACTACATTTTTTCACAGGTTATCTGTCTGACTCATTCTATGCAGACAGGATATAGACAGTTTTTATCAATGTAAAAAAAAACAATAACTTTGTTTTAATAAGTCACATACTGAAGCTTTAAAAGGGTTTGTTTCAATTCTGGCAATCGTCTCACTGTTTAATTACTGTTACTTGTGCAAGTTTCTCTGCTTGACTTTTTTCTTAAACTCAACTTTCCATAGAAATGTTTAGCTAAACAGCCAGAACAGCCAGATTCTAACCCATAATGCCAACTGTCAGGTCTCTGCTCGACCCCATGGTGCTTTAGGTGACAGCAATGTATTTCTATATTGAATTAGTGTAAAATTGGCCATCTGTACTTCTCACAGTAACTGAATTTCAGAGATTTCATCAGCTGTAAGCCATAATTAAACAAAGTCACAGTGTACTAAACCTCTACATGTGTTTGACTTTTTGAATGGAATGAGAGGAATCAGTTTTTCCTGAGGCGCACCAGACGGAGCAGACAGGACGTGGGAAAACCGGTTACATAATCATGGGACTGAAGTCCAGGAGAGCTTCAGCTGCTGCGTGATTCGGCAGCACCAAGTCAATTCAGCAGAACATAAATTTGAAGCAGTGGCAAATAATCCAAGTAAAGTGAAAGACGACGGCTCATCTCGGACAGGAAGTGGGCTCGGAGACGAACCAATCGGAAGAAAAACAGCAGACGGAGACAGACTGTCACATTACAGCCAGTGTTTAATTCACTATGTATTCCCACAAGGCAATAAATGTACAGCAAACTAACACCTAATGTCATACATGATGATGAGCTCAGTCCATGCCACAAGTCTGCAGGAACACAACGGATACCATGACGACACTGCATGAACACACATCCAGACGCCATGCACTATTACTGACCGGAAACAGAAAACTACACACACACACACACACACACACACACACACACACACACACACACACACACACACACACACACACACACACACTCTCACTCAGTATGAACATTTTTACATCACATGACCCATGGATAGTACACACACACACACACACACACACGCACACACACACTCTCACTCAGTATGAACATTTTTACATCACATGACCCATGGATAGTACACACACACACACACGCACACGGACGAACACACACACGTTTCAATAATGGACATGACCAGAGTGGCAACCATGGTATAAACAATGCATTAAGAACAGCAACGTCAACAAGAACAATAACAGTATTAAAGCTTTTCATGACCATATCAACATTCAGTGTATTGGAAAATACAATCCCAATAGACTCTTTGTATAAAAAGAAGCTTTTCAAGTCAGCATGGAACAAAGAACAGTTCATATGTCAGCGGGGTGGGGGTGTAGGTGGGGTTTGGGGGTGGATGATTCCGTTGAGCCGGAGGACAGGAAGTGTTGGACATGACGTTGGGGTGAGAGCGGCTCTATGTGGCGTAGCGTTTGGTCCACTGTTTGGCTATCCTGTCGTGCTCGGCTCTGTTGGTCAGGTACTGTGTGGCGATACTTCCCACCAGGGGGTCCGCTGCAAAACAAACACCAGGGTCACCATGGCAACGACTGCCTTCACAGTTTATCACCTGAATCTACTTTGATTTAAACCACGTGTCAAACTCGAGGCTCAGGGGTCAAGTCTGGCCTGCCCTCTAGACTCTGGAACAGCAGTGTACTTAAAAATGATATTATCAGTCACATTAAAGCAGGTTATATCTATATACTGCCAACTACAACCAGTCCCTCCACTTTTTTGTGATTTTGTTACAAACTTTCCTGAAAAATGGTCAAAAACATTGGGTTGAAGTGATGCTAACTCCAACCTACAGGTGGCAGTAGCTCTAACTGCTGTCTCAACCTTGCCTGAGAAAGTTATAATCTGTGATCAAGTAACAAAAGACACATTAATCATCATACATAAGCACAACTATCTGAAGATACAGAATATTTTGTTAGAAATAGGGCATCTTTTCACACTGATTGTGTTTAATATGTAATTTTAATTAGTGTCGCAATTCATTACAATATTTAATGTTTAAATTATTCCTCACCAGATAATTTAAGAAGATAATTTACTAAATTGTTTTATGCTTTCGGTTGACCCCTCCCCATCATTCATCAAGTTTAAGAAAACAGCACAGTTCTTGTTGCTTTCACAAGTTAGACATCTTCAGTTTATTGACAGTTAGGGAATGATCCAAGTGAATCTGAACAGAATCTGAACTCATTAAGGAGGAGAGAAAACCCAGAAAACCCACTGAACAGAGCACCAACACTACAGCTGATAAGGAAGGTAAGAACCTACATTCTGCAGCAAAGCACATGCTAGCTCTGATATAAACTAATTAATTAATCACATGATAAATTAAATGAATTTTATCATTTTCATTTGTACAATTCCTTAAAGAGACGCTCCCATTTAACATCACTTGATATTTAAAATGTTTTGCAGTTCCAGTGTTAAAAGTTCTTTAGAAATTAAAAGTGTTTTGAACTTTGACAGGGTGTACTTGTGTTATAATTATTATTATTACTACTATATAAAAATTATCTCAAAATTACAATAATATTGTTTCTGGGACATTTTATCATCCAGTAAAATTGGTCTACTGACAGACCAATCAGTCATGCTTGTTGCTAATAAGTAAGTTCAAAACATGGGAAGAGAGACTAAAATAAAGAAAGGAGACAAGGAATTAAGGAAAGACACAAGGAAGAAAAGACAGAAGGATGGATGGACATTAGAAAATCAAGAAAAGCCCCAAGGAAGGAAAGAACATAAGAACAAACCAGAAGTAAAAGGAGGAAGAAAGGAATACATGAAGGAAACACATCAGAGAGAAGGATGAACAAAAATTCCAGATACCAGGCAGGGCATTGTGGAAGTCTGTTGTCCAGATTTTTAAACGTTATTTTTGTGTAGTCCAGGAAAATCTAGAAATCAAACCCACAGTGTTGCCAGACTGAGGATCAAGTCCTCTCCTCACTGCAGGCTCCTGCTGCTGCTGATGTGGACCTGAGGGCTTCATGGCTGTTCAGGATCTCAGGCCTGTTGGTGTCTCATTTCACTGCCTCTCATCACTAAAGAACACCAGCAATGTTGTTTCAAACAGACGGTCGTTTCCAGTTCAGTTGCTTAGAGCTCACTGGGAGGGGTCGGAGGTCACACTATCAGAGGATCTATGTGTAAATGTAGGTAAGGGAGTCAAAGAGGCCAATAGGAGGTTTACTGTCTCCTCAGGAGTAAATATCCACTGATGTCAGGACAGAGCCATTATGAAGAGAAAATATCAGTCACTACAAGAAGTTGTGATAACAACTATTAATGCAAACGCACCCAACATTCACAAATTTTCCCCAGACTGGCTATTTTCATCAGTCTTTACAACTTTTCCAAAAATCTGACCTTGATGTTTTCAGTTTCCTTCCTATCTGACCAATCACTGCTACTCTGCTAAACTATGACCAATCCTCTCAGCCCCCTTCTAATTTAACTTCCTGTTTCACGATGTGTTCACAACTGAAAATGCAATATGAAATCATGTGCGACACTAAACACTAACATTTGCCTTTTCTTTTTTCAAAAATGCTTATTAGGATTTTCTTCTTCTGTGTTAACAGTTCATGTTAACTTGAATGACCAATAAGAAATACTTCTTTTACACTTTGACCTCTCAGGACATGATCTGATTTGTCTTAAGATGATACAGCATCTTACAAAAAATTTTATTTGCACTTTAAATATTAGCTATGTTAAAATTGTCTGTTTTGCTGAAATTTAAATTTCTTTTGCACAAAGAATACAACTTAAAAATGTGTAACTTTGACCGCAACTTTTTGAAAAAAAGGTGCTGAAAAATTAGTACTTTTAGGCTGCAGCATCAGTAAAAGCATAATCAATACAGAGAACATGTGAGTCAAGCTGGTTGGAGGGAGCTAAGGCTCTTACCAGGGTTGCAGTCGGTGAGCAGGGAGCAGATGGACAGCAGGACCTTGGAAATGGTGAGGGCAGGACTCCAGTTATCCTTCAGAATGTCCAGGCAGATCACCCCCTGGCTGTTGATGTTGCAGTGGTAGATCCTGGTGCGGAACGTCACCTGATGACACACAGAGGCCATGATTAGAGGAAGGAGTCATCTTAGTGCAAACCTACAGCACTTTACTTCAGATGCAAACAGGAAGAAGACACTTGGTCACAAAAGGTCCAATCTGTCCAAATAACTCAAGACTACATGTTTCCAAGAAAAACCTGCATAGCTAAAGCCAGATGAAGTAAAGGCCCCCTGTGGACAGGAAAAGCTGCTGCCTTCGACTCAATGACACACACCTCGTACTCAGCAGAGTGAAGGTGAAGCTAATGGTCCCTGGGGATCTGATGTAATCAGCACGGAGTAAACAGAGCACAGCAGATCCTGACATCAGCATGATGAGCACCGCATCGTTAAAGAGTCACCCTTGACTTTTAGGGAAGTAGTAGCCACCTTCCTATGGCTACTACTTTGGACAAGCAAGTTCCTCCTCCATTCCTTCTTTCACATCCCCTCTTCAGGAGAAACAAATCAACCTGCTGTTCAAAACCCAGCACTGTCATCAGTTTCCTAGGTACAGGACAAATATGATAGGATTTTCATAGGGAATAGGACAGTGAGAGGCAGGAAGGGTGTCTGATAAGAGCAAACTGCAGCTGGACTTTACATCTCCTGTGTGAACCGTTTCTCTGGTGCCAACGCTGGCAGCCATGATTAAGAGCCTGTAATCCCATCATGTCTGATGCTAATAGATTATGATGCTGCCTAGGCGTAACAACAGCTTTAAGTCTGATGCAGCATCCCTTCAGTAATATGGAGGAACCTAAGCCTCTGCCCTCAGCTGCTGCATGCTTTCACTCCCAACAATCCTCACTGTGAAGAGAACCAGGATCATGCTAATAGAAAACATCTGTACCTTCAGTTCCTAGAAAAACTTTTATTACAAATGAATCATTCCCAAAAACATCGTAATTTTTTCTTCCTGTTAACTTCAAAATAAGTGTCAAACATAAAGAATGCAGCCAATAAGCGGTTCCACTTATTACACCTGACAACATCACATGCTCACAGCAACTGGATGCTCAGAAATTGATTCAAATATGATAGGATTTTAATATTGAAAAAAAGATCTGGTTACAGTTTCTTGTACATTTCACATCATTATTTTATACAGATGCATTTCCTAATGCTATATTAGTTTAGGATTTGTTGTCCCCGGACAGTTTTCTTACAATGTGACAAATGTTTGATTATCATATGTATTGTCTAAATACGTAAAGAATTAAACAAATATGTTTACAACAGTATGTATAGAATTAGTGTCTAATGGAACAACCAGGCGTTTGATTTAAACATGAGTTTGATTGTGTTAAACATGGCTGTGCCATCTACGGTGTGTTCCTGGAGGAAGCAGGCTCTATGCTCCCCACAGTAAAAGAACGAGATCATCACAGTGAAGTCATCAATACATTTCATTTAAAGGACTTGGAACTACTGGAAATAAACAAGGAAAATACCTTAGTCACTTTAAAACTGAAGCTTTTAAGAACAGTGGTATACATTTCATAATAGTGACTGGTCTATGCTCAGGGTGTTTTCACACTTCGCTAGACTTGGTTGCAACATTTTTTTCCCATTTCCAGCCGCAGCAGTTTGCTTTTACTGCTCTGTGTCAAACAAACCAAACCAACCAGACTTTCTACCAAACCAACTGGAGTTTGATTGAAGCAGACTAAACAAGGCTGCTGCAAATGCACCCTTAATTTCAACCACATGCTTGTTTAAGAAAAGAGTGATGCTGCAATAAAGACTGCAAATCTATACACTGCAGCTCTAAGGAAATAAAATCACAGTAAAATGCATTAAAACTGGCTTTTTATTCCAACTGTCATTTACAAATGTTTCATCAAAGAAATAAAATGATCAGTTGTGTAAAATGTGAGTTTAGATTAAGATAATTAGGTAAAAAAAATATTTAATAATCTTTTCACGTGTCTTGTTTTAGCTCAGGGATCAACTACAAATTTACGTCTGGTGCTCTTCTCAGTCCTCTTTCTACCTGATACACTCAGCAGTCATCTGGACAAATGGGATAAAAATAAACCAAACAGAATCACAGCTGATAACTGTAACAATAAGACAGATGAAAACAGTTTAGTTTAAACGGAGGTAGCAGATCGAGCCAGGCTTGCTTCATTGCGCTCCATGGAGTGTTAAAAACCTCGTTTGAAAACAATATGCATGTTTCACAGGGGGAATGATGTGAAAACTGTGCTTTAGGTCAAAGGCATAACAATATAAATCAATGAAGGGATGTAATGTTAGAGGAGGATAATCCCTCATCCACTGAGGGTCTGAAGGAAACCCGTGTAGGTAATGTCCTTTTTGTCCTCAGCCTCCACCTAAGTGTATTGGTGTCAATCTTAACCATTTCCTTCATCCTAATATCAGTGAGTGAGCCAGTGACGGGAGCAGCTGCTGCTGTCTGATTGGCCCCCCGAGTTGCTGGACGACACATCTCACAGACTGACTGGAAAAACAAGACAGCAGGAGGTCAAAAGCTTCGATGAGCTCAGCTTTCCCTCTGCACAGACAGACAGGAAAAAAGCTTCTGGAGCAGAAGACAGGCTCCTCTGGAACAGCTTCTGGGTGAGCTTATGACTGGGCTACAGACAGGAATATAATGCATATAAAATTTTCTCTTAATACACCTCTGTAAGGATGCATCACAGCAGCCCTGTTTTAGTCTATGTTAATCCAACTCCACTTCGTTTGCCTAGATAGTCTGGTTGGTTTGGGGAAGTATAAATTAGTCGAACACTAATATGGACCAAAGAAGCCAACTCAGTCTGAGTTTGGTTTAAGTGAACTCTGGTGTGGTTTGAAAGCATATATGAATGCCAAGTGAGTCTGCTCCAAAAACAGGAAGAGACTACATTCTGAGCAAATAGAACCAAAACAAACTCCGGAGTCTAGAGAAATGACTGTTTCATATATATATATATATATATATATATATATATATATATATATATATATATATATATATATATATATATATATATATAAAAATTCCCTTCTCACCCACCGCGGGTGGTTCTTATCCTCTGAGCTCGGGTCCTCTACCAGAGGCTTGGGAGCTTGAGGGTTCTGCGCAGTATCTTGGCTGTGCCAAGGACTGCACATTTCTGGACTGAGATGTCTGATGTTGTTCCTGGGATCTGTTGTAGCCACTGCTCCAGTTTGGGGGTTACTGCCCGAGGGCCCCAATGACCACAGGCACCACTGTGGTCTTCACCTTCCAGGCCCTCTCCAGTTCTTCCCTGAGGCCCTGGTATTTCTCCAGTTTCTCGTGCTCCTTTTTCCTGATGTTGCAATCACTTGGTATTGCTACATCTACCACAACGGCTTTCCTCTGTTGTTTATCCACTACGACAATGTCTGGTTGGTTCGCCATTACTATTTTGTCTGTCTGGATCTGGAAGTCCCACAGGATCTTAGCTCTGGCGTTCTCCACCACCTTTGGGGGTGTTTCCCACTTTGATCTCGGGGTTTCCAGTCCATATTCTGCACAGATGTTTCTGTACACTATGCCTGCCACTTGGTTATGTCGCTCCATGTACGCTTTCCCTGCCAGTATCTTGCACCCTGCTGTGATGTGCTGGACTGTCTCAGGGGCCTCCTTGCACTACCCTTGGGTCTTGTCTGGTGTGGTAGATCTGGGCCTCTATTGCTCTGCACTTGACTGCACTTCGAGCAGATGATTCAGCTATTTGTTTGACGTGTGTTGGGCCAGGGACACATCTAAGAGCAGCAGGACACCAGCCTTAGAGGACTGGGATTGCTCACCCCTGCTTTAGAGAATGCTGGAGTCAAGATGAAAGGTGTATATGAGGAAGGTGGCGACAAACTGCCATCCTCTCATATACTGTGAGGAAGAATCTGCCAAAACTCCAGCCACTATGGTAGCTCAACTTATGAATTTGAAGAAAGAAGAAAAAAACTCTCCCATTATTCTGACTTTAAGAAACAGAAATAATTTTGGCAAGCTGACCTGACAAACAGATCTGACTTAACATGACAGAGTGGGAAAAATGTTATTTTAATAGAGATATGGTGTCAACTTTACTACAGCTTTGGTTTAGTTCTACTTGGCTTGTCAACACTGTCTCTAGTTTACGTTTTCCAACTCTGCTGCTGAGATACAGCAAGGCAAGGCAGTAGTACATGACGGCATTCATAGCAGAGAAGGGCTCAAAAGAAAGTAAATGAGTCATCTTACTGATTGCCCAGAAACCAACATTAACCACAAACAGGAATGAGTGCAATTAAGGTATAGTGATTTCAAAAAGCAGACCTTGATGACTGATTTGTGCTAACCACCTACATGTGGGTTTACACCATCAGTGACAGGAGGTCCGGTGTGACAGAGAGTTCACCACAGCCTCCATGCTCTGCATCAAGAAGTTAAAGCTGTCAGAAGTCCCTTCATTGCACAATATGGTACAATTATCTACTGGTGAATCATCAGGTTGCGCTCTCACATTTTTCCCTGATGTGAGAGCGCATCAGGTTGCGCTCTCACATCTGTCCCGTTGTTCATCCCTTCTTAATTTCCCTGGTCCAAGGTCACTGTAAACTAGTAGTTCTCAATTATTTTATGCTATTCTTCACCTAATAAGCTTCTCTTGCCCCCACACCTATGGAATTTAATATATATTATTGAGACCCAGATAAATTTAATTATTCATCTGTACAAACTTTTGTATTTCTTTCCAGCACCAGAATTCTGCATATCTTCACCTGATTATCAAATTGTTTCAATTTATTTCCAAGTTCTGTTTATTAACTTGAATTTTAACATTTAATCAAGACTTTTCATTTTGTGTGCAAATGATTCACTGGGATGTACCGGTATATTGTTTTAGACCAAAACTCAGTAAAAGTGTTTTAACTGTAAACTGTCCTGAAGATCTGTACAAACAGTCTCACAATCTCACAAACTGAGGTTGACAAACAGACCACATTTTGTGAGACTGAAGGACTGTGTGTCCAACCAGGTGGTTAGAAGTACAGGGCACTGTACCCTCACCATTCCTTTTCACTCTGCACACTGCAGACTTTCAGTACACGTCCAACTATGATCTACTGAAATACTCTGATGTCTCTACAGTTGTTGGAATTGTGTATCAGACATGGTGAATTCCAATATGGTTTTATGGACGGTGCTATAAGAAAGTTACATAACTTGCTCTTGGAGTTCACTCAGTACAGTTCTGGATGATTTTCTTGATTGCATTCCACCATTCATACGATCTGTCGTACGTTATATTTCTTCTTGTTTCCACTTCCTCACTGGTTGGCTGCAGAACTAGAAACTTTAGACTTTCCAATAGTATTAGCAACAGTAAACACAATACCATGAAGCTCCTTGGAGAGAATCTTAGAGTATTTACTTTGAACATAGACATCTACAAATTTTATTCTGAGTTTCTGGGATTTCACATTTGTCCAGAATCTATTCAATTTTAAGTAAGATGGATCTCTGATCAAAAGCTTGAATGCATCTATGATACTAATTTAAGGTTAAATATGACAATGACGCAATGATCCGTTCTGTTTAGGGGAACCAATAAATCTATATGTTTAAGTATGTTTATAAGGTAAAATCAATTTCTTAATTATGTTCACATATTTAACACAGGCAGGGTTGGTTTATAAAGCTGCTTTTAATTGACTTCAGGAGAAATGAATCATTTCAAAAGGATGTAAGAAGACAAGCACATTTGTCTGCATCTGTCCATGTTGATTTATAAAAGAAAAAGAAAGTATCACATGTTTCCGTCAGTTTATATGGGGTCAATATGAGAAGACCCCTATCTGAAAAGATCTACAGGAAAAACATTTTGCTCAGCATTTCAAGCACAAAAACAGAAATGAACAACAGTTTGAAAAAGCTAAATACCCTAAACCCCCAAGGATAAAGGGTGCAGCAGACATCTGGCCATGTCTGTTGCATGTCCTTTTTCCTTTATTTTAAAATGTCTCAGTTTAACAAACAGATGTAATTAAGAATGTCTGATAGCATAAAACCCAAACTTTGAACAAAAAAAGAAGCAGAACTTGAAACAAAGGGGATGTGGCAACCGCTGTCAGCCAGCCCACTGTGTACATGCGAATACACAATTGCATCAGCAGAAGACATACATGAAACCCACAGGTTGACTGGAAGGAAATCAAGGGCTGCTGAATGCTGCAGCCAATGGAACAGGGGGAGGCAACCCAACAAGAAATGTCTCAGTAATGTCTCTGAATGGCCCAAAAACTCCAGGTCATGTGAGGAATTGGTTTACCAAGAAAAAAAGCTGTCCAGAGTCCACTCAGTGCTGTCTCTTTAGGCAACATGCAGTACTTCTTAAAAATATTCACCCCTATGAATGTTTTTCCTTTTTATTGTTTTTACAAATTAATTATGATCAACAACAATTGGTTTCAATTGATAAGTAAATTTACAACAACATGTCAAAGTGAAAACTGATTTCTATAAAATTATGGCACTTAAATAAAAATATTTAACTAGATAATATTCACCCCCTCTGAAATGACTGACCTAGTTCAACAGTGGTTAAGCCAACTGGTTCTGGTCGAATCCCAATAGCTGCGTTTCCATTGCAAATGCGTGCAAGTATTTGTCTATATTCTGCAATTGTCAAAAAAAATTTTTTTTGCAATTGCGGTGGTTTTATTGAACAAGACATGATATTAAAATCACACGTGAGTAAGCTTGCTTTTGCAATAAGTCATTAAAACTAATGTCAGCAACAGATGTAAACAGTTATATAAAATAAAATTATAATCCTGCCAAGACGCTAGTGCTCATCTATCAGCCAATCAGAGGAGACAATGGCAGGGCATTGCAACAACAAGCCCCGCCTACTTTGAAGCAGTTATGTGTGTGGCATTTTGGGTAGATTTTGGGTACATAATGCCACCCACATTATGTGTGGCATTATGTATGCCACACACATAATTAACACATAATTAGCAATTTTTCAGAAGAGTTATGGATTCAACACGTTGGACGACACACAACTTTTTAGACTGTGATTCTATGAGAGCTCTGGTGGAGCCAGCTTTATTATTTTTCCAAAAAAATAATAAAAACTTCATCCTCCTATTTCTTTCTGTTGCCATTTCCACCAGTAGCAGAATCCGGCTGCTGATCACATGACTCGTGATGCAAGAGAAAGTGTGGCCATTTCTGTGTTGTAATACATAAATTTCAATACGGCTGAAAAACCATCTCATCCTGGCGCAAAAACGTTTTATCAAAAAACTTGAGGGTTTTGTTTCTGTTTTTCAAAATTTGAGGTGTTTCCATTAATCAAATTAATTTTAACAGTTTCAATTTGCGCAATTAAATGGTGGGTGGTAACACAGCTAATGAGAAGAATAGAGATCATCTGAGCGTAGTGAGTGTCTCCAGTGATTGTAGTGTGAACACAGCTGGTTCTGGAATGTCTATTCACTGGTTCATTAGTATTCCTAGCTAAATCCTAAAACCAGCCCGTCAGGCACCAACCATGCTGTGTTCAAAGTCCCTCACATCCTCTTTGATTCCTATCCTGATGCTCAGTAGAAAGTGGTTTAGGTTCCTAAAAATAAAGAGCTACTATGTGATTAGCCAGTATGTTCTTGTGTTTAGAAACAAATGAAAGAGTGTACCTAATAAAGTGGCCAGTGAGTGTATTTTGTAGATACTTTAATCCTGAACAAAGCTAGCAGAAATTTTACTGTTACCGTTTCATACTTGCTGTACAAGAAAGTGAAATCACTTCCTTTCTTTCCAGGAAGTGAAGCGTAAACATTGCAGAAATGCTCTGTTGTGTTCTGGAATGATTCGCCTGTGAAAGCCAGTGCTGCCAATTCAGCAGCATTAATGCTAAATTAATCTTTTTTTAGATCCCCACATAAGGCTCCCAGAAAAATGTCTTCAAATTTTTATGAAACCAGTTGCCAGCTTTTCCCTGCATGAGCAGAAGGAAAATTCTTTCCGGATGTCACTTCTCCTTGGCAGTGCCAGTGGGAACTGGCAGCAAAAGCTCCGAAAATCTTAACTCGAGCAGGAAGTGTTGTGGTACACAATGAAGCTGTGCAGTTTTAGAGATTCAGACAGACTGGAGGTGTAATGATGTGCTTAGGTCAAGAGACGTAACACACATTAGATCAGAATAATCATTCCCCTGAACCCCTTAAAGGTTTTATAGAGCAAGGCTGAGTTTTGAAGAAACAATAATCAATGCAGAGTTATTTAGTTACACTACGGTTTCCCAACTACTCATTCAAGCAGGACAATATTTGAGCGGGTCCTGATGACTGATATCGAAAAAAATGGCCTTTTTGTGTTTTCTGAAATATAAGTAAACATTTCACAAATCATAGGGTGTTTTACTTTAAAGTAAAGTAGTTTAGTTTGGATATGCTCAGTTCAGGTTTCATCAATCCGAATATGTAAAAGTACAAAACTAGAGGTGATCACCTGTATAGTCTTTGATAAATGGTGAAAGAACCCTTAAATGAGGCCAACAGTAACACCTTCAAACTGTGTGTTCTACAAAATATAATAGACTCTGCAATTAGTTGACAATAACTTAGTTCTTGTTTGGTCAATAATTTCAATAATTTGAATAGCAAACAGAAATCTGTAAATTATATTCCAACTTCATAATTATTAGTCAGCCAAGGTGTGTGCCATATTTTCCTACAGTATTTAAAAACTGCATTATTAAATAGCAAAAAACAATCACTTCAAATATTTTTACTTCATGTGTAATAAGTCTGCACATTGATCATTTCACTTTCTAAATTGATGGGCAAGAAGTATTGGACTTTTATGCAAAGTTTTAATGCAAACATTATGCACTTTTATGCAAAACTTTTGGAGATATACTAGTGTATATATATGTTAGCCTGTTGCATCAACCAATAAATCAATAAATCGCAAGTTAAAATGTTAATTTTCATTGTGTTGATTAATATTTTTTGAAGGCCAATTTTGTTTACAGGGAGATCATAATGCGTTTCATTCATGTTTAGGCTGTAAATGGTTTCTGAGGTTGTCATGTTTGATTTTAGATATTTAACATAACTTCCAGTTCCAGTGTTAAAGTGTTCTTTTCAAAATTTTATTTTATTGCTCTTTAAGAACCACTTACCTTGGGGGGTTTGAAGGGGTAGTCTGGTGTGAAGGCGATGTCCAGGAAGAACACTCCTCCCTCGTATACGGAGCCCGGGGGGCCCAGGATGGTGGACCTCCACTCATAAATGTTGTCTCCTTTGGGGCCGGCACTGTGGGCCCAAACAGAAAACTGTTGTTAAAGACAGAGAAAGAGCATCAGGAGGAGAATGACAACAGTCTTTGAAGGTGAGACACACACACACACACACACACACACACACACACACACACACACACACACACACACACACACACACACACACACACACACACACACACACACACACACACACCTGTACAGATGAATAGACAGGTGTTGAGCAGCAGCTGCTCTGTGTCCTCACTGTTGATCAGCATTTAACTGCCAGGCAGCTAGCAGTTACCAAGTTTCACTGTTGGTCCTCCTTCTCCTCCACACACACACATGCACGCACACTGAGATGCAGACACACATACACATGAACGAACACACAGCTGGAAGAAGAGAGGAACTAATCAAATCCCATTCTGTACTGGAATTAGGCCAGATGCCCCTGTTGGTATCATGTATTACTTTAACTTTCATCATTTACACAATCTGAGAGAACCAGAGAGGAAGAAGAGCTTGCGTATGTGTGTGTGTGAGAGAGAGTGCGTTGGCGTGTGTTTGTGTGTCCTTGTATTTGATACAGGAACCATTTTCCTAACACACATTGCGTTGAGAGGACCAACTGTTCTTTGTGGAGACCAATTTCTGGTCCCCACAAGAGCAAATGCTGTTTTTGGGTTATGGGTTAGGTTTAGGACTAGGGTGTGAATTGAGTTTAGGTTAGATTTGGGTTAGACATGTCCTGGTAATGGTAAAGGTAAGGCTGCAGAAATTAATAGAAATCAATTAAATTCTCTGTAAAGATTCAGAAACATAATGTGTGTACATGCAAGTGTGTGTGTGCATGCATAGACACATTACAGTGAGATAAGAGCCTAAGTGTGGTTGCTCATGTTGAACATCAGCGGTAGTAAAGCAGGGGGCCGCTGCAGAGATGGTCCCTCTCGGTGTGTGTTTGCCCTAGAGGAATTACTGTAGAAACAACAGCCATGTTCCTCTGATAGACTACAAGGGACGGGTGCCAGGGCAGGTGTCCGGGACCCGGGGGGGTTGGTCAATAACTCACTGGTGTGATTTCAAAGTGTACCAGTGGTTTTATTAAAGCGCTGCTGGCTTCAGTTCAGATGAAGTCTGATGATATATGGCTGTCTAAAAGCTTTACTTCACACAGCAGACAGATGGGACCAGCTTTGTTTAAATTCAACCCTCACAAGATCCAAACTTGATTCAGTTAACACAATGATTGAGCTTCATGCATACAGGAACACCATCCAGATCATTCAGATTTTTAATGAATGAGATTAAGGACATATATCTAGAGAAATGTACAAAAGAAAATCATATATTTTTATTTTTGTAAATACTAGTAAGACTGAAAAACTACTTGTGCTCCTTGGGAGATACGGTACCTATAGATATTGTCACATTATTTGAAGACAATCAATTTAATCTTTTTCCCTAAATGTGATCATAGGAATGACATATAGATCTATTCTTGTTTGTTTCCATGCTCTACTCCTTTTAATTTTTTCATTTTTGCCGACTTCTCACCTGCATCTCCCTTCATAGTAACAACTTTTTAAAAATAAAATCAGAAAGAGATTGAACAAGTTTTACTTTAATGGAAGGAGTGAAAAGAGGACATATTTGCTCTTTAAAAGAAACATGAAGATCAGAGTAAAGTTTTCCAGAAGGACAGGGACTTCAGAAAAAATGTTCTTTGGATAGATGAGTCTAAAACTGATTTGACACCAGAACAGAGGACATGTTGGACAGGAACCAGATCCAGTATTCCAGAGAAAGAACTGCCAGCTGTGAAGCACAGAGATGGCAGTGTCATGGTTTAGGGATGATCTGCTGCAGGTCAGCCCACCATCACAAACTCTACCATTTATCAGAGAACGATGGCCTGAAGAAAATCTGTGTTTCTTAAGAAAATAAAAGCTGAAGCAGAATCAGACCCTACTATACGACAATGATCCAAAACAAACCATAAAATACTTCAAAGACTAGTTGAGAGGTCAATGGAAGGCTGTGGGCTGGGTCAAAGTCCAGACCTGGGATTCACTGATATCCTGTGGGGCGACTTGGAACAGGCATGAGATGTAAAAAAAAAAACAAAAAAAAACAAACAAACAAAAAAACTCTTTAAACATCTGACAGCTGAAAGTGAGGAGTGGGACAAATGTGGGTCAGACTCATAGAGTCCCTCTCAGGTTGTTTAAGCCTGAGGAGGGGAGAGTAGTTATGAGTGGCAGGGTGTCCCAACTTTTCCTTGAGAACTATTTCCTTGTGTACTTGGAATGAATTAGTTTCTTTTTCTGAGGATAAATATGAATAAAACTAGGCATCGACATGTGAATCTTTGCCTTTGAAAAATTTGAAAGAACTGAACATTTACTGTGTGTCTATATCTAAGGTTTGCTTCATGATTTTAACCTAGAAATACCTGTCCATAAGCTCATATTTATGACTAAATGACACTTATTAAAAAAGATCTGTTTAAGAGTTCCAGTGACCCACAAAATCTACACAGAGAGCATAAATCATTGAATGAAATACATAACCTGAAAAGACCAGCTTCCTCTGGAATCTTTCTTTAAAACCTTCATAAAAACCGACACTATAGAACCACTGTTTGCAGACTGAGCTCAGAAATTACAATTACTGCCCTAAAAGCATTCATTATTCAAGTGGTATAGCAAGGTAGACTTTAAAAATAGTCTTTTAGGGGTCCCACGGTTAGCCCGACGCTCATTTTTCTCTTAACTATGTTCCCACAGTGTGCCTTGTAGCATCTGGAAATATTTAGAGCTCTGACAAACTGCCTCATTTCCCCCAGTGCAGCTTGTTCCTCCTACCTCTCACAGGAAGACCTGGGATCAAGTGCTGGCAGAGACATTTTTATCAGCCACCAGGTCTGTCAGGCTGATGGACGAACCAGATCATACAACTCACCCAGGGGTGTCTGCCATTATTCCCCCAAGGAAACCTATCTGCTACGTTTAAATGTGGACAAGTGGTCTTTAGAATTTGACTTCTGCTCCACAGTAAACCAAAACAAAAGGTGTCAGATTCCTCAATGAGAGACGTTGATCTCTCAGGAAAAGGTGGGAAAACTGGAGTGTTAAGTGTGCATATGCTTAGGCTACAACTTCTTTTGCTATTTTGTTGAACTTACAGGAAGATTTCAGATATTTTGTCTCAGGTAAAGGGATTTGAGCTAGCTCCTGTATGCCTGGGAAGAAAAAAAAAAACACCTGCAGAAAAGTAACCATCCACTGGCTCCAGTGGGGCAATCAGGGACACTACGAGAAGGCAAAGCAGGGAAGAATCCTTTTCAGTGACACGATGACACACAAAATTAGGGTTTTGAACCAGAAGTCACCGGTTACAAGACAAACTGCCCTCAATTGCAAACAAAGGTCAACATTAATTAATTCTTGCCCAGCACCTTGCGAACGTTTTTCTACTTTTTAAAGGTGTTGAACTCTTTCCCTATTTGTCACATTCTAACCACTGTTGATGCACATTACTGGGATTTAAAGTGATGAAGCAGCAGATAGGTTCAAAGGGGAGATAAATAAAAAGGAGAAATCATACAAGGTTTTCAAAGTCTTTCTTCAAATAAAAATATGAAAAGTATTCTGATGTGAACCTTAAAAGGTTTGAATCAGCTTTGCACATCTACTGACTAAAATAATGTTTATATATAATTGACTGTAATTCTCTCTGCTTGATTGGACTGAATTGACTTCCTTAAGTTCCTTTAGACATGTTTTGCGAATTGGTGTTACACGAACTAAATTGAATTGAAACTGAATTTTATTACAATTTAGATTTTGGCTCTCCTGGCCACATCTGATCCTTCCACTGAGGGAAATATAAACAGATTTTAACCAAGCATGCAGACACAGTCTATGGTGGAAGGAAAGTTCTTATGTTTACCAGCTGTCTCTTCATTTGCTTCAGTTTTGTGCCGACAACCAGAGGGCGGGTAGGAGGAAGATCAGGCCTGGTGCTGGTCCTACACCCTTCAAACTTTGATTCATCATAAACCTACTGCACCTCTGTCCTTATCTTGAGCGTGTTGCCAGGCAACATTGCATCCCTGTGTACATCAATCTACAACATTTCCCTGGAGATGACAACACAACAAGTCAACATGAGCAACACTCAGATATGAATCTTTATAGTTCATAATGTCTCTACTGCTCCTTTAGGAACTGATCAATAAACATAAAGCAATGAACTTAGTCAACAAGATCCTGCAAAAGGACACATGGCACACATAACTTGTAAACTATTAATGACAGCTCATAGGCAGATATCAAGTCTAACAAGCTTCTTGGATTCTTGGTCGCATGGTGCTTACAGGACCATAGACATCTATTAACACGGAGCCAGTGAAATGAAAAGAACAGTTCAGGTTTTGTGGTTGAACTCCTCTGATGGTTACAGTGCAGTCAACAGCCAGCAGCTCTGGCTCCATGATATCACGATGTATGACACAATGGTCCGCTGATGTTTCTATCACGCAGGGTTTTGCTGATACAGTGTAAGGCTTTTTTTTTTGTGTGTTTTTTTTTTTTTTCGGCTGTCGTGGCCTTTATTTGACAGTGGTCAGACAGGAAAGAGAGCTCTGAGAGGGAGAAGACAAAAAGTCAGTGGATCAGTGAGGTCTGAAGCCTCTGTACATGGGTTGTGCGCTCTATAGTCCTGCTCTACTGGCGCGTCCAGGACCTGATATGTTTAAGGAAGCTAAGTAATAATTAGCTGATTCTGCAGTAAACACTCAACCAGGAAGGTCCTTGATGTTGAACTGCTTAAAGCCAGAACCAAACCCACACAGCCCTTAAACACCTTTTTGGGAAGTTTCAATCATGAAAACAGGCTTAGAGGAGCCGACTGATTATGGTCACTTCACACTCAGCTGTAAAATGTTCTAGTATATGCTAAAAGTTACAGCTTGAAGACACCAAAAGGACCACATCATCTGCAAAGATGAGACCCTGAGGTACC